ACCTCCTCCATGCCCCACTGACCTTCCATCTGTCCTCGTCCCCTGGGGGTACCAGCTCTGAATCCCCTTCCCCATCCCCCCCAGGATGTGCATGCCGCCCTGGAGTCGTCACCAGTCTGGCACTGGGGAGAAACCTCTGGCTGAGCTGGTCGCCAAATGAGATTAAGATTAAACCAGATTAATTGAACTTTTGTTATCTTTGGTGGGCTCACTGCTGGCCAGGCATGCTAAAATTACTGCAGTGAGTCAGAGGCTTAGTTTAGCAGGAAGGAAAGGTCGGGCCAGAACAGGCTTTTCTGCCAAAAGCAAAGCACTTTTGTCATACCCAGAGCTGTGCTTGGCATGAGGGACATGGGGCACATGGGGGACATGGGAGATATGGCCATCCCAGGCATGCAGTCTTGTGGCAGGCACCAGGCACCGTCCCCTTCTCGCCGTGCCTGCATCACCACAGCTGCACCTTCTGCTGCCAACCAAACCCATTCACCCAGAGGGTCCAGATATTTGACCTTAAAACCACGACGGTGGCATTTGTGCTGCAGCAGCTGCCAGGGGGACGGGGGGGCTGCACCCATGAGAGCTTCCCCCCATCCCCCCGCGGGGTTTGCAGGGATTCCCCATGTGCCAGCAGGTCCGCAGCGCTCTGCCCATCACCATGGGGTCACCGGTGCCGCCGGGGGGGACGGATGTGCCAGTGGAACGTCAGGCCTGGGAGTCGGGGCTGCTTGCGTCAATCCCGCTGGCGCCAGTGTCTGGGCAGGACTAGGTTCCTCTGCTGTTGGAGGAGAAAGTATTTCCAGGTCCAAACCCACACTGCAGCTTGATAAGGGTGGACAGGACTTAGTGCAGGAACAAGGAAGGTGATGCCAATGAGAAAGCTTTTTTGATTGTGGTTTTTGGCCAGGCAAAAAGGACATCCTAGATATGGGAAAATTTCTCCCAGGCTTTAAAGTTGGTCTGTCCTTCCTGCAGCTGGGTGTGAGCCATGCAGGGGAACAGGGCCTGCTCCTCCCACGCCCCTTTGCCAGGAGTAGGGGAAGCAGCGGGGACACAAATTGGCCAGGGGAAAAAAAGGAAAGTTTGGGCAAAGAGTTTGCTTCTGCGCTGCAAGGGGAGGAGGTGAGGGCGAGCACGCCGGGGCGAGTGGCAGTGCACTGTGGCAAGCAGGAGCTGACACCCGCGGGGCCACAATGCCCTGTTTCATGCCAGAGGCTGCAGGGGTTGGCGGTGCCCGACATGGCAGGGAGATAACCGGGGATACAGATCTCAGAAAGGGGCTTCCTCTGTAAACACCACCGCAGCCAAGGGCAACAAACACCCTGCAGCTGCCTTACGTCCTCCCACCAGGAACGACCCCAAAGTGCAGTGACTGCCAAGCTGGGGCTCATCCCAAACCCCCCTGCACCCAGTCTTGCAAGACCCCATGCCCACCCTCCATCCTCCTATGGCCACCCGCTCCATGCAGCATCGCCTGTGCTGGTTTTGTTCCTCCAGCCGTGTGCTGTCCCCAGCTCCTCTCTCCTCCCGGGAGGCTGCAGGACACAGCACCCCCTGCAGCAGGGACCCTTGCATCCGCCCCACCAGGGACCCGCCATGAGCCCCTGCCCCAGTGCAGCCATAGCCCCACAGCCGTGCTGGGTGGGAACTGGGTCCTCAGCTGCGAGCGGGACATGTGGGCGGTGGAAAGCAGATACCACAGCAGTGACTGCTCTAGGTGCATGTGTTAGTTCTTGCCTTCCAGCGAAATCCTAAACAATGCCCTTTTTTTCTCATGTAACCTATAGGGGTTTTTTTTTTCAAGCTGCCTTATTATTTTCCACTTGGCAGAACATGGCCCAGAAGGGAAGATTTCATCTCTGAAAGGGAACGGCCTGGTGTCAAAATCCTGCATGCAGGGTCACCCAAGGGCGACCCGCTGCAGGGTGCTGGGCCCCCGCACCCGGCTATGCCGATGACAGCAGTGCTGGTGCGGGTCTGCACCCTTCGGCCTGCACCCCCCACCCCTGCTTCTGCTGCGGGGAGGGAAGGAACCCCCCTGCCTGGAAAAGGGCACGTGCTGCAGCATGGTTGGGGTACGTGTCCCCGCGTCCCTGCAATGGCCCCTGCCTGGTGCTGTGCCCCAGCGCCCTCCCCATGCCATGTCCACCCCATGCCTTCTCCCCCTGCAGTGCCCCCAGTGCCACCC